GCAGTTAGATGAATTAGCGTAATCCTTGAAAATAACCGTCGATTTCGACGGGTTTCACCTAGTATATGATAAAAAAAATAGGACATATTAAAAATAATCTTAAAAATTATATATTAACTTTATTTAACTTTGTTTCTAGTTAAATACAAACTTTATATAATTACATGATTGTAATTAGTTTCGAGGTTTTCTCACTTTTCAAAATGAGATACATATTATTTTTAGATACGTTAACTATATGTAAGAACCCTGATAACCTGCAGCTATTGCAACCCGAAGTGACTGATCGCTGTCTTCTGGCTTAGCGACAGTGAATGTGTTTCCTTTAGTTGATTCCCATACTTCCATGATGTCTTGTTAGAGGGTATTGGGGTCTGGTCCCTTCCCTCTTCCATGTTGATAGGTATGATGTCAGTTGTCTCAGAGTATATCATTGTTATCTCTTCCATTGCTGCGTTGACAAGTTCAGAGTCTTCATTTTCTTTTCTATAAATACTATGAACAAATCCTTCGGGGAATATTTTACCCCTGAATGTGACATCACCTATTCTGTCTTCGCTCTGCTCTTCCGGATTCTCTAACATGCTCAAGAGTTGACTTGGTTTTATTAACTGTGCTGCTTTCGATTCTCTTGGGTAGATCTGTTCCGCTCCCATTTTCCTGTTTTCTTCTTTCCTTATATCCAACACCCATTCTTGCACCATTTTGTTTATATAACTACTACATAGTATAGCACTTTCCATATTTCTTGTTGAATTGAGTTTTGTCTTAAGCATGCCCAAAGAAGTAGCAGTGGCTTTCCTGGATAATAGCATTGTCCTAACTTTACGTATGCCCTTAGGTTCTATGAAGATGTTGAACGTCTTAACTGTACCACTTGAGGGATATAACACTATGTACGCAGAGTTATTCTGACAGCTTGAACTCCTAGAGAGATATTTATCATACGAGTTGTTACGTTCATCATCTATATATATGGCTACTAATTTCTTTTCTAGCCGATCTATTACATTCCAAAGATATGGTTGTTTTTCTATACCCCACTTCCTACAGTATTCATTCTGCTCGATCTCAGCACCGGGCATAAATAGGCAGAGCTTGAACCTGTACAATTCAGAGTCCCGTATGAGAGGTGGTTCTAATTCAGTACTGTCCCCTGAAGACATCTTTGTGGTTCCCTGGGCAGAGGTAGATGGTTGTTCTTCTTGCTCGGGCTGATTGGTATCCCCTGTTCTCATTTTTATAATTTCAGATACCTTCATCCTCTTCTTGTCAGATGCCCTTTGGTAACTTGGATCATGATCTTCCAGCTCTCTTTTCTTCCCTTTGTCAGAATCAATTATGTTGGTCTCTAGAGTTTCCATGTTGCACAGATACACCCCGGCTTGGAATTGCAACGCCTTCAACTCTTGATTTGGTTACACTTGTGATTTGGTTAGACTGTAATTGAGCGGAGCGAGCGAAGCGAGCGAAGCTCTTATACGTCGACTTTTATGCATTTCGTAATACGCAAACTCCTCCTAGACGGCTGAATCAATCGTTTTCAAATTTTGCATGGTGATAAAGACAATATCGGTGAGTGCCAACATCTATATGGCGTTAAAAAAGTCTCTCAGGAATCCGTAGAAAAATGAAACTGAAAATCACATTTTCTTAACATTAGTCTTATGGGTTGCTAGGTAACCATGTTGGCTGAATTAAATAACAAGTAAAAAGTAAACAAAAGATTTGAAGTTTTAGCATGTGTTCATAATAAGCCAACTACCCACAGTATACTAGGAAATTACAAATACAGTACAAAAGGAAAAACATCACTTGTTAATATTGAGCAAAGATTATACTTAAGATTACTCGATACATTGTAGTCAAGGGTAGCAGTGCGAAGTCTAGGATCTGTTTATGACGAATACATTAAGGTATCTGCAATCCTAAAATGCTATGGGAAGGGAAGGAAACAGGTCCGTGACGTAGGAAGTAGTGAAGGAAGTAGTAAAGGCAATCATAAAATGCTATGGGAATAGAGGGAAACAGGTCCGTGACGTAGGAAGTGATATGAAGGAAGTAGTAAATGCGAGCAGTCCGGAGTGTGGGGACTGTTTATGACGATAAGATTAGGGTATCTGCAATCCTAAAATGCTATGGGAAGGGAGGAAAACAGGTCCGCGACGTAGGAAGTGGTGAAGGAAGTAGTCAAGGCGAGCTGTCTGGAGCGTGGGAACTGTTTATGATGATTAGATTAAGGTATTTGCAATCCTAAAATGCAATGGAAAGGGAGGAAAATAGGTCCGCGACGTAGGAAGTGGTGAAGGAAGTAGTCTAGGCGAGTTGTCCGGAGTGTTGGAAATGTTTATGACAATTAGATTAAGGTATCAGCAAACCTAAAATGCTACGGGAAGGGAGGAAAACAGGTCCGCGACGTAGGAAGTGATGAAGGAAGTAGTCAAGGTGAGCTGTCCGGAGTGTGGGAACTGTTTATGACGATTAGATTAAGGTATTTGCAATTCTAAAATGCTATGGAAAGGGAGGAAAATAGGTCCGCGACGTAGGAAGTGGTGAAGGAAGTAGTCTAGGCGAGTTGTCCGGAGTGTTGGAAATGTTTATGACTATTAGATTATGGTATCAGCAAACCTAAAATGCTACGGGAAGGGAGGAAAACAGGTCCGCAACGTAGGAAGTGATGAAGGAAGTAGTCAAGGTGAGCTGTCCGGAGTGTGGGAACTGTTTATGACGATTAGATAAAGGTATTTGCAATCCTAAAATGCTATTGGAAGGGAAGGAAACAGACCCGTGGCGTAGAAAGTGGTGAAGTTAGTAGTAAGGTGAGCTGTTCGGAGTATGGGATCTGTTTATGACCATTAGATTAAGGTATCTACACTCTTAAAATTACATGAAAAGAGAGGGAAACAGGTCCGCGACATAAGAAGAGATGAAGTAATCAGTAAGGTGAGCAGTGTGGAGTGTGGGAACTGGAAACCGTTCGTAGCAGTTAGATCAATGCACCTGCAATGCTGAAATGCTATGAGAAGGGATGGAAACATGTCCACGACATAGAAAATGGTGAAAGAAGTAGTAAAGGCTAGCAGTGCGGAGTGTGGGCAATGTTTGTGGCCTATTAATTCTGAATTTTGTTGCGATCTTTTTGTTAGAAGTTTTCTTAATGATCAATACCGTTTCTCTTCTATAATTTCAATTTGCCGTGCTGTTAAACGTCTTGTTGTGTATTATTTAAGTGTGCGATTAATTGTAGGCCTACACTGTATGTCTACTCCTTTAATCTAAGATCTCAGTTTAAACATGATTGGATATTTATCACCGACAGAAAAAGTTATATCCAACGTGTATTTTGTTCAGTGTTTCATTATTTTTATTTTGCTAACATTTGTAAACATCGTTGTGGCTGTAGACAACAGCCTATTTGTTTATTAAAAGAGCCCAAAGTAGGCCTACGCCATTGCGGCTCGAGAACTGTAGACGGCCACACGAAGCTTTAGTTATATGGATCATAAACATAAACAAATGACGTAACTAGCCAAGGCCCCCCTATAAAAACAGGCCATGCTGCAGCACGGACAGCGCAACAATACAGTGGTGGATAGTTGTACTAAAATCTTACCATTAAAATCTGACAGCCAGCTTATTTACCTAAAACTAAAACATATGAGATATGGTAATGAATTTGTCAATGAATCTATCCACTAGTGTGACGTCATGGATCCTGCAGCATCTACCCCGAATCCTGTATTAATGAAACTAACATGTTTTGAACGTTTTTGACAGTTCCATAAAAATAATAACACGAACATGATTACTTTGGGGATAGTGATGTAATTTGTTTATGTTTATGATCCACAACGTTTATATTCTAATGTTCGTCTAAAAACCATAGGTATGCTAACACTAACAGTTAAGTGGGGTTTCAATACAACGAAACCACGTGATTTAATAGTGACGTAATTTGTTTATGTTTATGATCCACAACGTTTATATTCTAATGTTCGTCTAAAAACCTTATGCTAACACTAACAGTTAAGTGGGGTTTCAATACAACGAAACCACGTGTTTTAATAGTGACGTCATTTGTTTATGTTTATAATCCACACCATTATTGTTTTAATGTACGTGTGAAAAACATATGTTAACAATAATTAAGTTCGGTTTCAATTGAACAAAAAACGTGTTTTAATGTAAACAAAGTTGTCTTGTTTACAAATGATAGTTTCACTTAAATATCAGTGTTTTAGTTTATATTGTGTTCTATTGAATTTGTAGATTGTGGAAGTTTATCAGGATGAAGGGTGATGAGGATTGTTCAGAATTATGTGAAAGTGTTATATTCCCATAATATGTCGCATGCAGAACTACCACATAAGATTTGTTTTTGATATGAGAAACAGTGACTGTTCTTGTTCTTTTTTTAATTAAAACGTTAATGTGACCTTAGAACAATAAAAATCATTTTACTTAGGTACTTATTCTATATTGAAAAATAAACTTTAAAAATATTTTGCAAACAACCTATAAGGTTGTCGCAGAAGGAAATGCTAGGATTTCACGTTCTGCTTAATTTACTTAATGTAGGCCTATACCTCTTCATAGAACCGCAGTATAGTATACGACAGAGCGTTTGTTGTTGCTGCTTGTCGTGTTTGGAATTACCTCTGGCCAGTGTTGCATACGTAGATTTCTTTGGACAATATCGGGTTAGTTTATATAACGTACTTGAAATGCCGCGATTTTCAAAAGGTTCAAACTTGTCAAGATCAACACGGACGACTAGGCAGCACAACAGTGGTAGCCATCAGACTGCTTCATCTTCTGATCTCACCGCCAGGAACATTAATAGAAATTTGGTATTAGCAAACAAATTTGATCATTCCCTTCAGTCTCTGGATTATGTAACCTGCACAAATTGTAAAGCAAAAACGTTGCAAGAATTTAAAGAAGACTTCATGTGTGCAATTTGCAGAAGAAACCCAATTGTTCTTACAGATCTTAACAACATGGATCCAGGAGATGTGCCACCCCAGCTACAAGACTTAACTCCAGCAGAGCAAATGCTCATTGCCAAAGTTCAGCCAGTTATTCGGCTGTATCAGTATCGTTCTTGTGGACAGATATTTTATAACGGCCATGTAATAAATATTGCGCAAGATTTGTCTGAAATAACACACTTTCTACCCCGAGCACCAAATACTCTGAACGTTGTTATTGTTCGAAGACCAACATCACAAGGATTTTTGGAATTCAGAGTCCGCAGACAAAAAATACTTGATGCTTTGATATTTTTGAAACACAACAACGACTTTTACAATGACATAAATATCGATATGGACACATTAAATGATTTACCAATAGATGGCACTATTGAGGAACAAGTTCCAACGATAGAAATCGACAGTGAATTAAATGATTCATTAGACGACGGTTTGGTAACTGAATCGGCTGTAAGCAGTACAGCTTTCCAAAATCAAAAAGAATCAATAAAACGAGTTTTGGAATGGCCACCTGGACATCCCAATCCAATAGACGAGTTTCGTACTCCTGGATATATCGTCATGGCTTTTCCTCATCTATTTCCACGTGGGAAAGCATATTTTAATGATCATACAAGACAAGTAAAACTGACTTTCAAACAGTGGTGCAATTATTTGATGCACTTCAGGGACTCCCGTTTTGCAACTGACAAAAGATTCCGATATTTCTGTCTAAACACAATTCAAAGACACGAGGCACTCAATGTCGGAGCGATTATGGCAAAGAAATCAGATCTCAAGGAGATGACAATAGATCAACTTCGTATTGAATTTGAAAGAAATCCGAGCATTTTAAATAAGCTGTTATCATATGGTGCCCATATCCGAGGAACAAACGCATATTGGTTTAAACGCCGGAATGAACTTCAATCTATGTGTGAAAGTCTTGGTGCACCCACCCTATTCCTAACATTAAGTTCTGCTGATCTATGGTGGCCATGCTTGCAAAAGTACTTCAAGATTCCTCAAGAAATCACAAGTAATGAAAGCCAAATGTCTAGATTCATGCAAAAATCTTTAAATGACAATCCACTAATTGCAGACGAGTATTTCGAGGCGCGAGTGCAAATACTCATGGAAATTTTAAATATAAAATTAAAAGTGAAAGATTTTTGGTATCGAACTGAGTATCAACATCGTGGTAGTCCACATGTACATAGCTTGATTTGGATTGAGAACGCTCCCGATATACGTCTATTTGATCAAGCAACTTTGAATGAGATATCATCATACAAACAATTCTACGATGAACTTGTATCTGCGGTCAATCCTAATCAAAATGAACCTCCTGCTGTAATCCATCCTTCGAGGTTATATGGTTCAACAATTGAGTTTTGTGACGTGGAGAAAAAGGCACAATTATTAAATCGTGTTCAACGTCACACACAGCATTCTATTTATTGTCAGAAAAAGAATGGTGGTGGCTTTACCTGTCGATTTGGTTACCCAAAAAGTATAGAAGAAGAGTCTCATCTTGAGAAAAACGAGAATGGTGATTGGGTGTACACTCCAAAGAGAAATGACGAATTAATCAATGATTACAATCCATTTGTGGCACATGTCTGGCGCGCCAATACTGACTGTAAGGTGGTTACTTCACTTCAGATGGTAGTCAACTACTTGGCTAAATACGCTTCCAAAAGTGAGCCGACTTCCCAATCTTTCCGTGATATTTTCTCTGAATTATTGCAGACATCTGAGCCTACAAACTACGCGACCACTGCTCTTCAACGTACATTAATGAAATTAATTGGCCAAAGAGATATATCTGCTTGTGAGGTTATGCGATTGTTGACAGGAAAAGCATTGTATCATTCTTCACGCCAGTTCATCACATTGTACATATCAAAAGAAGAATTTGTAGTCCTGAATGAAAATGGTGATCACGGATCGTCAACTTTTTCAAAATATCAGAATCGACCTCGTCTTGCTGAAAATATGACACTATATCAGTTCACTAGCTCATGTAACACGAATAGTAGAGTGAAAAGACTAACTTACTACCGACAGCCACGCATTGTTCAAGTCCTACCCAAAGTCACGCTTGGAATTTCTGAAGAACATGATGAATTGTACTATATGCAAAAAGTGCTAGTTGTGTCTGCGTTCAGAGAAATTATCGAAGCAAAAACTCACAGTACTTGGAAAGAAACGTATGAACATCTTGATGTAGAATTGTGGGATTTCGATGGTGTTGCTGATGACGATGATGAAGTCGAGGTGGTTAATCCAGAAATTGATCGAATTCCTTGGATGGAAGCAGCTGCAGTTCCTCATAATGTGGTAGCCGAACACGTCCATCCAGGTGAAAGAGAAGTTGGTCGGGACTATGATTGGTTTGAGCGTATTTCTGCATATGACAATATACATGACAATTTAAATTTTGTTAAACATGTAAGTAAAGCTACTCAGCTAGGAAGAGTACGGGCTAATAGTTCTGAAGTTTTGTTGAATCAAGAACAACAACAAATAATTGATCAATTGAAACAGCAACTGAATGGCCAAACAAATATAAAAAGAAGCTTGATTATAGGACCCGCTGGTGTTGGGAAGTCTGTAGTTATAAATGAGATTATCAAAACAACGGAATCGACCTATGGTGACGGTAGTGTTCTCATATTAGCACCAACTGGTTGTGCTGCTTCAAATGTTAATGGCCAAACAATTCACTCAGCACTAAGACTAAATATCCGAAATTTTAATGAGCTACAGGGTGAAAATGAACGAAATCTTCAAATTTTGTTCGAAAACGTCCGTGTCGTAGTTTGCGATGAAATATCTATGTGTGGGCAGAAGCTACTAGCAATGATCGACAAACGCTTACGTCAAGCCAAACCTGAAGACCAAGATGAAGTGTTTGGTGGTCTTATTGTGTATCTATGTGGTGATATGGCGCAGTTACTACCGGTGCAAGATCGAGCTCTATTCATGCCAGCTGATCTTTCAAACCAGTGGTCTTTCAAACATGGACGTTTTGTATACGAGCACATCCAAAAAGTTTTTCAACCAAAAACTATCATGCGTCAAGCTGGTGAAGAACAAAGTCATTTTCGTGATGTTCTTAATAACATTGCTCATGGAAAAATTACAGAGGAAGATTACAAGTTCTTTTCTTCAAGATTCATATCGAAAAACACCGAAAAGATCGCTGACTTTTGCAACGCTGTTCGTATCATGGCAAGAAAAGAAGATGTGGCTACTTACAACCTTAAGGAATTGGCTAAGCTACAAAGTCCTGTGGCATTCATTCGTGCCATAAACAAACCTTTAATAGCCGCAACAGCGAGTTCCGATGAATGTCAAGCTCTTGAAAACACCCTCAGATTAGCCAAAGGTTGTAAAGTAATGTTACGCCACAACTTATGGACTGATGCAGGCTTAGTAAATGGTGCTGTTGGCACTGTTCAAGATATTGTATACGAACGTGAAGATGGCCTATCACATTTGGAAATGCAGCCTTTATGTGTATTAGTTGAGTTTAGTAATTATAGAGGACCCACATTATACAATAATGTGGTACCGATTGTCCCTGTTGTAACCAAGTTTGTAAAACGAGGCATAAAATGTACCCGAAAACAATTTCCTTTGACACTTGCCTATTCTCTCACAATCCACAAATCTCAAGGCATGACCCTGGACCAAGCAGTTATTGATATTGGGCCAAGGGAATTTAGTGCTGGGTTAACATACGTTGCAGTGAGCCGCGTCCGAACGATTGATGGGCTGCTTTTCGACCCAGGATTTACCAAAGAACGGCTTATGAGCATTAACAAAAGCTCGGTCTGGATAAAGAAACAAGTCGAAGATCAACGTTTAGAATCACTTTTATAAAAAAATTTTAGTATTGCTGTATTTTGAAATGTTCACTTTATTGAAATTAGCTTTCCAATCAATCAAATTCATATTATATTTAATCCATGTTCAATTGTTTCACAAAATATATTCATCTAATTGGCTGGTTATTGTTGTTTTTTTTCTGAAGGTTTTTAAAAGAATGCTGTTTATTTTGTGTTTTCATTGATACTTATCATCACATTAAGTTAAACTGTTATGTAGTTATCAGTTAGCAAAATGGTAGAAGCCAAAACGTTTTGGGTTAAATTCTGTTATCACTAGCTAGCTGGAACTGTACTACCCTGTTTGAGAAAAAGTAAATAAACTAGAGGTTTTACTAAGATCTATTTTTTTAAACTATTTTAATCACTCTAAAATGTATCTCTACAACAATTATTGTTTTTTATTTGAAATTGTTGGTAAAAATAATGTTGAAGCCTAAAATAATGGAGAGGGACTTTGGCAATATGCACTGATGACTCCGCTCAATTTTGTGGAAGCGTCTGCGAACGCCACCTAGTAATGTTGAAGTTGAAAATATTTTTTTATATTTTTATTTTTGTTCGACACAATTTGTCATAGATTGAAGATGAAGAATAGGCCTATTAAAAAGTCTCTTTGTTAAACACAACTTTGAATTAGTGGGAAAACTACTGCTGGGCAATCTTTTTGGGGAAAATGAATATATTTGACATTTTTTGTCAGTTACTTTCCAAATTTTCTGATCTGATAAAGTGCTAACATCAAAAAAGTTAAGACTAGAACTGCTGTATAGTGGTTAATCAAAGAAATCATACTTATGTACATAATTTTTCCCTATAATTACTTCACAATTCAAAGTTTTGGAAAATGCAATATTCTCTACAAGAATAATTGCACCTTTTTTAGAACAACAACAGTTATTTGAGCAACTTTTTGTTATTTTAAAATTGTCAAAGGTCACTGTGTGATATTGTGGTCCTTGGCAACTTGGAGGCAACATTTCATCATGATCGGAAGGTTTGAAAGAAGGGAAATTGATAGTTTCTTGAGGTTTGTATAAACTACTCACATGACCTGATTTAAATAGCTCTGAGATTCTGCGAGCAATTTGCTCAAGAGGGTATGCATATCCTCTGGATAACTTTTTCAAAAACTGCAAAAAGTTTTCAAATGGAAAAATGATACAGAGTTTAAAGAGAAATTACTGAAATGAGAAATAAAATGATCTGCATCATCGACAATATTGATGAGATTGGGAAAGTTATTAGTCAAAAATTTTGTGTCGTAAATATCTAGAGTTAATCTAACAAAATGTATCAACAGTTCTCTGCTGTAAGCCTCATTGACTCGTTGCAACAGTACATTGGGTTTAGTAAAATAGTCATAACACCGGATAGACTCAAGAAATGAAAATATGACTCAGGTGGCAGTACTGATTTTAAAACTAGTGGAGCATAATAGAGCAGAAAAGATCGAAACTCAGTAGCCTTCCATCTCTGTACACTTTTCAACTCTCTAGGTTTTCTTACAATTTCCACTGGCACATGTTTCTTTAAAGAAAGTAGGTAATCTGAAATTGATGTTTAGCAATGAATAGGCAGTAAAAATGTTTTGGGCCGAGTTGCCAGACAGATAAAATTGTTTTCACTACACCTAAACAAATTAAGTGCATATAATCGAGTAGAAATGATTTTGGGAAATCTAACTGTGGCACATGTAAAAGTGGAGTTATTCGGTACTCTGGTTGATAATGCTTGTCAATGTTGTCTCTAAAGTCTATGTTGACAGCTACAAAATTATTATTTTTTTTATTTTAATTTTTAATCAAAATTACAAAATAGTTACAAGCCTAATCTAACCTAACATAATCTAACCTAGATGCGTTTAAGGGAATACTAGAATATACATTACTTACATTAGTTTGACGGATTGTAAAGGTAGCGGGAAAAAAACTGTTGGTGCGGTAGCCTGGAGAATACCTTTTCTTGAAAATATATTCAGCAAAGTATCCCCGAAAGTGCTTAGACGATCGTCCGTATTTTAGAACTGTTCCACGGATGTCGCGCCAACAACGCTCAATGTTGTTAGAATGTGTACCGTTAGCCGGGTCAACAAAGTTTTGGCTATGGGTGACGGTTAAGTACTTAAATCGGCTTTTTAGCGTATAATATGCGGGCCATCAGTCTATTGGTAGTTTATTGGCCAGCACTAGTCTTGCCAAGGTTGTCCTGGTACGGTCAGGTATCAGGATAAAGAACCCCTTGTTCGTACCTCGCCTAACTCCACCGAGCACGTACTGTCCTTTCACGATCCTGCCTCGGTTGTACTTACGCTTGCCAAACTTGGGCTCGTCGATCTCGACTACACAACCCGGACCGCCGATCTTTGCTCTGTTCTGTTTATTGTGATGGACTTCTCTGTAAAAACTAAACCAATCAACTAATGTATTTGGTCCTAATTTTAAACTGTTTTCCAAAGCTTTGACGTGGTGTGGTGCATTGTGATGTAAAAGGTAAGTTACCATCCTTCACAACATTACCTAAAACGAGCTTTGATCCTTCCATAAAAAGAGCCGACTTTTTCGCTCCTCTTCCAGTTGCACTGAGTCTTTTTTGTTTCTGAAATGAAACCCTTCGGTTGTAACGAAGCTCTAGTTTTTCTGTGTCTAGGTATAATATTGCACCGCACCGCCTGCACCCTGATTGTCCTTTTAAAACTTTGTGATCCGCTAGAAAGTCCACTATTTGATCTCTGATAATCGCGGCAACGTCCCGAAAGTTTATCTCACATAATATGTTATATTGTAACGCAAGCTAAATTAACTGCCATAACACTACTAACGTGACTAAATAAACCAGTAAAATCAAATATAATCTCAAAATAGCTTACAAGCTATAAAATAACTATTAGACGGATATTAAAGCAATAGGATGTATGGCATAGGAGTATAGATCATAATGAAAATAAATGACGTAATTGACCAATGGAAATATACAATCTTAACATATTACTATCTTAACTTTTTCGATGATAGTGCCTTTAATCTATCTCTTAGTGAAAATAGTTACATATTCGCAATCAGTGTAAAATCCCGCACAATTACCGGTGCTTAAAATGTGTGTTTTTAAATAAAATTATTTTTAATAGTTTTTCAGATTTTCCGGGGAAACGGTGCTTTTCCGGGGAAAATTCCAATCATTTTTGAATTCAGTACGTTATTTAGCATAAGAATAGTGAAAAATATAATTTTAGCGTGACGTCCGTGATCGATACAATCACCTTAATTTGTGTTATTTTGAACTTGACTCCTGCTTTTCTTGCTAGAGTGAAGGTTTTTATAGCTTTTGAATATCCAAGCATCAGGTGATCTGCTGCATCTAGATCAGGTTTATTTCCCCTCTCTAAATACCGAACTACTTTATCTACGTCGCTGACTTAGGTTCCCTTTATTTTTCAGCTGGCACCGATGGACCACCCGTAGCCGAAGGACAGTTTCTAGCAAGATTCCTATGTATTGGTGCTTCTTGGCTGGGCATTTCTTGATTGTTTCATTCATGTCTCTCTAAATACTTAACTACTTTATCTACGTCGCTGACTGGGCATTTCTTGATTGTTTCATTCATGTCAACCATTTCATCGGGTTCGTCGAAAAGATTACCATGGTTTGACGTTAGATATAGTTTTGGCTATTCCAATACATGGATAAACATTTTCATCTGAGTGTTCCAAACTTAGTTTTTATGATTGCTTTTTGCCTGATCAGTTGTAGTTTTTAATCTCTAAGATAACTCATGTATTAATCACGCATTTTTTCTACTTAATTTTCATTTCTTAACCTGCAAATAATGTACTGTCGAAATCAAATTGCATAACACTTAGTTAGAATAAGGACGCTGAGACTTCCACGAAAATGCTTGAATAAAAAAAAAAAAAAAAACTTTTAAATATTGTGTCAAACTGACTTTCTCCTTTATTGGAATTCACAACCTAAGTGAACAACTTTTGGGGTCCTCAGGGGTCCACCCCAATGAAAATTTGATACAGCTTAAAAATTCTCCTGTCAAAAAATGCGTTTCTTTCGTTAACGTATAAATGTAGTGTATAACAACTGTATTAAACATGCATATACATTAATAAAATGGTTAAGGTATTATTTGTTTCCATGTCAATAAGCAAAATAACTGTGTGGCATATCCAGTTCCGCCACGGGGAGGGCAGGAAACGTTTGATCCTTATTTACTACAATTATTTAAAAGTCACCGGGGACTTTTGATGAGGCCGGTCCCCTATCGTGCTGCCAATTATGTCAAGTCACAATGGGGAGTTTTGATGTAATAGATCCCCTAGCCTACTGCTAATGTCAAATCCGGTTTAGAGAAGGAGATCGTCATACACGATCTTTTTCGCGTATGCTATAATCTGGACGTCCGACCCCACTGAGCAAGACGTACAGTTGCCCGTGCGTGAAGCAATCGGTCCGCAAATCAATACCTACTGAATCTATTGTCTGACCTTGGCTCTTGTGCCTAGTCGTACACCAACATCAGTAGAAACTGACTTTGACGAAAACCTAACGGCGACCTACTGAATCTATTGTCTGACCTTGGCTCTTGTGCCTAGTCGTACACCAACATCAGTAGAAACTGACTTTGACGAAAACCTAACGGCGACCTACTGAATCTATTGTCTGACCTTGGCTCTTGTGCCTAGTCGTACACCAACATCAGTAGAAACTGACTTTGACGAAAACCTAACGGCGACCTACTGAATCTATTGTCTGACCTTGGCTCTTGTGCCTAGTCGTACACCAACATCAGTAGAAACTGACTTTGACGAAAACCTAACGGCGAAGGTTTTTCACTAGCGCTTCAGTATGCCTTTGGTGTAAATATTTTAATAAATGACATAGCCTTTTCTTGGTCACATATTCCTCAATGATGCTGGTTATAGCGGTAAAAGCTTGCTGATGATAGTCTCTGTAATGATGCCAATCTCATTCACTGGATGTTATAATTTATAAATACATATTGTTATTAAATCTTATTCTGTATCTGTATGGTATAGTATTTTTGAACCAGCACATGTTTTCAGTTTTTTTATTTTTTCATATTTTCCTTGATTTTTTATTTTGAATAGTAAACTGAGTTTACTTTTTTCGGTGTCAGTTTTGTGGAGTTGGAGCATTTTGCAGTGTGATTTTCTCAATCTTCTTTCACAGAATACACAAACATTGTGTAGGCTTTTAGGCCTAATACTAGCATCACTTGCGATAACAGTATTTGTTTGTGAGGTGAGTTGTAGTTCAATTGGTCGGGTAATTGAAGTAGTTTGGGATAATTCTGGAGTTTCTTTTGGTAAAGGCTGTAAATTCAGTGATTCTACAGTCAATTTAGGTAATGGCGTAGCTTATTTAAGGCTTAAGTTATGAAATTTATTCCAATATCATAAAAAAAATTCTATAGGGGAGACTGGGGCAATACTCTACAAAAAATCCCTATTTCATATCAGAAATTTTGTTCATAATGAAAACAATTATTTAATGGTTTTACCCTTGCATATACTTGTTCTTGAACATCCCCCAGTGAATAAAAACTGTTTAAATTTATACTACACAATGTTGTCATATTTGTATACCAAGTTTTTCAAGCATACGTTTGACACATTTTGTCAAATTTGCCCCGGCGGGGCAGTTTTGGGCAGACCATAATTTTTAATGGCGCTCAATTGGACATTACTGTAAGGTGGGACTAAAAAATAACAACAAGCACAATCTGGAGGTTACTGATAAGTTTAATATTTGAGTCATATAAAAAGTTCTCCATTCATCCAACCTTTATGAGAATAGAGGTCTTAAACCCTCAGGTGATCCTATTATATAGGCAAAGTTTGGACGTTTCCTGGGAAATATATAAACAGGTGGTAAGTAACTTCCATCGCAAATGAAAGCACAGAAGGTTACCTTCTCCGCCCTTTCTGCAGACACTACCTGCCCCACTTGTTTAGTGCCCTTAGCTGGTATAATTTGTATGCCATTTATTTTCAGTATTATATAAATGATTTTCATATAAGGCCAAGCCATTTAAAAATGGTGAAATTACTAAATACTAAATTACTAAATAAAAATAAATTAAATATAAACAGTTAATTTAAAATGTACACAGTTACATAATTACTTAAAATATATGGATTTTAAAATAAATCAGCCTACTTGTTATGTTGTATTAAATAAAAAAAAGTATTTAGTTTATAAACTTCATTTCTATCAACTAAGTGATAAACTTCAATTTTTCGTTGGCTCCAGTCTTAGTCTCAAAAGGGTTAGAAAATATATATCCTTCTCTTGTCAGAAATTCGGTAATATTTGAACTTGTTTTTTTTTAGTTTCTTCAAATGAACACCGAGATTTAATA